ATATTATGAAAAAAATGAGATTTTTTGTGAAATTATTTGTGAAATAAATAAGTAACTAAATAAATAATAAATATCTACATTTTGCCATAAACAAAGAGATAATGAGTTTTTATTTATTTATTTATTTTNGTCGCATTTAGATTCAAGTTGGATCTAATTATGTCTATTTTTCTACTTGTTTTATCTCGTTAGATTTAAATTAGATCTACTTAGATTTAATCCATTTTTTTCTGGGATGTCAAATATTTTGTGTATTCAGGGAGGAATCGTTTACGCAGTGGAGTTTTCACGGAGAACGGGAAAAGATCTAATCGACGTAGCTAAGAAAGGACACAATATCATTCCTACAGTTGAAGACGCGCAAAATCTTTTCAAGTATTGTATGCTCGTATGGTAGACACTGTCTTCGCGGACGTCGCACAGCTGGATCAGACTCGTATTGTTGTATTCAACGCGCACTATTATTCTCAAAAACAGCGAACATTTTCTTATCCATCAAGGTAAGACATGCGCAGTTGGTTTGCTTATATTTGTTGATTTGTCGTGCTATATGTGAAGAATTATTAATCGATTTCAGGCAAGTTGCGTAGATTCAACGGCAAAATTGGAAGCGATATTTGCGAAAAAAAAAAGCTATTAAAAGCACAAGATGGTTCGCTGGCAACAGTTTGCTCCGCTATTCAGCAGATACGCTAGTAGGTAAGTGGCCATCACTCGGGACCGAGTCGAACAAGGATAGATGACATGAGAGAGACAAGAATAGACGATATGTGTCTCTCTGGCGCTTCTTTAAAATTATACTAATCTTAGTTCATATTTTTCTTGTCTCACAGGAACTCAAAATCGAAAGTATCTATATCTCGTATGAACTCAGATAATAATAAGTTACTAAAAAGTCTACAAGAAGAAGTTGTATCGTATGATAAATTATTAAAAACAATAAAATGTGCAAGAACCAGGATACAAATAATAACTTCATCAACGATTGAAGATAATCTATATTTCCGAGTTTTCTACGTAGAAAAATTCGCCGCCACTATGCGAATAATTCTCCGATTAAATTTTATTTTAGGAAAGGAAACTTCGTTAAATATTAATTCGGTTTGCGATCTAGATAGGATTGTAGAACTCGGTAGTAAATATTTAACGGAAAACGAGAAAAAAAAGTTGCAAGTGTTCCGAAAAAAATTAAAAGATGGTAAAATTGATACGGATCAGCTCAATACGGCATTACACGTGATACAAAAATGGTGAAACGCGGCCGGCGGCACCCCCTAAATTTAGAGTGATATCCACGAACAAGGAATCTGTAACTCAGAAGTCCTGAAGAGGCAGGGATGGTACGAGATCTTTGGCAGGAATGCTCGATGGATTGGGTCGAAAAATATATCGTCACTCCCTACGTATAATTACATAAGTGTCACATATGGGATTTTCAGTTTATTGCATAGTGACACTCAGAAAGTCATGTTCTTTGTGGTTACCAAGTATTAAAAAAAATATTCATAA